GTATCTAAGATTCGTTTCATACACGTGATTGCCCACACCTTCACTCTCATAATTATTCTCATTTTCACTCGGATATGACGTATGCAGGTAAAATGAAAAAGCAACATAAAATCATGTACGCGACGCAGCACATGGTCATATAAACGATGAAGAGTTAAAGCGAAATATTTATAAGTGCAGCAGTCGAACACTGTTTTGTTTTTTGATGATTATTTAACAGCTTCGTGTATTCGTGGTATCGTACTGTCATCTCTTTAATTGTTCAAAAACATTGTAAACAAATAAAAGAAAAGTGTACTATCATCAAATTCTATTGAACGTGATTATTCAATGCAGAGACGTTTCAAATTACTCTCGTGGAATATCAATGGTTTAGATAATTTGCATGAAACCTTAGAAACACGAACTCATGGAAGTTGTTGCTGTTATCAAACGGTAATATTTCGATAAAATTTTCTACATACGTATATTGTGCATGAATTCCTAGGGAAAGGCCTGATGCTGTCTTTCTTCAAGAAGTGATTCCGCAATCGTTTGTCCTTCTTCGTAATTTCCTACCCGAATACAAGTCACATATAGGTGAGTCAATTCATTTGAAGCTTTACAATTTGTCATATCATCTTTCGGGTAATCGGAATGGTTATTTCGTAGCCATTTTAACTCGAAGATCTACGATCAGCATACAAAACTATGAAGTGATTCCATTTCCATCGACAACTATGAATCGAAATTTGTTAATCGTGCATGTATTTTATGTCTTCGATCGTTTTGCAATCTAGTGTAATAATTTTTCGACACATTTTAGGCTATCTTTAATAGAAGTATAAAGATTGATCTGATGACATCTCATCTTGAAAGTCGTAAATCAAAAGCTCCTGAACGCATTCGACAATTGAAATATTGTTTTCAAAAGATGCTCCAAGCTCCACAAGATTGAATTATCTTTTTTGGTGGTGATTTGAACTTACATGATAGCGAAGTGAGTCACACTGGTTGACAATAATGACTAAATGCCGAAGGATAAAATTTCATTCAAGTTCTTGAACTTACACACAGTGAATAATCTCAATTTGAGCGAGAGTAAAGGAAATAGCTATCGAATCTAATTATATTTGATTTCGATTCTATGAGTCTTTATCTATGCCTTGTATTCAAGTAAAACACTCAATCGAGTATCTTGATCATTGAATATTCTGAGTCCATCCAGTGTATCGTTTCGGTCTGAAACGATAAAACCAAATGTCCAAACTGTTCTGTTCAATATACGTTTACGTCCTTTCTATACGTCCGAATCTAATTCGACAAAACATAGTACGGTTAGATATAGTATGGCTGAATATACTGCTGCTAAATCTGTATATCTAAATTTATTAATTACAGCACTATACTTCCTCATTCTACAGATGCTATTCAGTGATGTCAAAATATAAAATCAAGGTAGATTTGATTCTGTACACAGAGACGAGCGCAGGTCGTGGCGTGAGAGTGCATAGCATCCCTCGAAGAGTCGCGTTACAGAAATAAAGAGTCAGTTGCGGGAGCAAAGTTTTTTTCAGTTCTTGAGTAAGTGAATTAAAATTCGAAGTTTTACATATTTGAGAGCTCCATACGTGTTAGATTTACACGTGGATTTGGACGTACTAGAATTGGTCGTACAAATAGACAATTATATAATTGATGTATGAGTTTATTTGAACTTTAGTCGAACTTTGGATTTCTCTCAGAAACAATCGACTATTTGTTCATTAACGTTTCCAGAGAAATCATAAAGGGAATTAAATGCATATTCTCATCATTTAAGTATATATATATATATGAATAATTTAGCTTAGACAAGCGGGCGGTATTCCGACAGGTATCTACGATGTATGGCTCGCGACCGGCCAAAATCCAAACTATGCTTATACATGGAATATGAAACTTAATAATAATCTAAATATTGAATCGCATAATTCACCTCGATTTCGTTTCGATCGATTGTATTTTCGACCAGCATCATCGTCTATATTCAATTTAATACCGGTTTCTTTCAGACTAGAAGGTAAACAGATCATTCCATCCATACGACGCTTCTGCTCAGATCATTGGGCCATTCAAGCTAAATTCAAAGTGTCACCATCAAGTTAATCAAAATATAAATTATATGACTGAAACAAATAAGAGAGAACAATTCCACACTAGAAACAGTCCTGTTTGTATATGAAAGTGATGAGAATGAAATGGAATATATTCACTCTCATCTATTCGCTAATATAAATACAACCTTATTAGTGTCAATTGTCTCTTACTGTATTTTATAAATAGTAACTCTAAAATAAGAAGTTCAACACATGTTTGCTTTCTCTCAAGTAGATGTCAGTCTTGTCTTATTTACATTCACATTGAAACCTAGAGCTAGACGAATACAAATTTTCTCGATTAGGACTTTATTCTTTCTATCATTGTTCTTCGATCTAAATGAGCAAACAAATGATTATTACATTTCAAAAATGTTACCACACATGAAAGTTGTAAATACAAAGTATCTAACCCTAATTTGATCATGAATTTTTTTTTCTTTAGAAAAAAACTTCGTAACCTCTCTCCACAACGCTCATTTGAGCTAATTTTTGATTTCTGGAATAGAAAAAATGTTTCTCTATCTTTTGATCGTTTTTTTTTCAAAAATTATTTGTTAATAATGAGCAACAGCCATTAAAAAAGCACCTACTCAAATTTTTTATCCGTTCTTCACCTTTCTTTATTTGATCACTTCAGCTATTTTCGTTTCCTTATTCGATCATTCAAGCCATTTTGTAAGGACTGATTGGAAAAAACCTTGTTTGCGACATGAATAGTGTCTTTAATCAAAATATAAATTATACCATTCGAATCCTCAACTGAAGATCTATATTTTCATACATTTTTTTTATTCTAGTAAGGTGCCATTTTCATCAAGTTTTTCTTATTACATTCGAATGATGTTCGAGATCGAATTAGGAAACTCATCTTAATTCAATTATCTAATGTAAAATGCACGTAGTTTTAGTGAATGATAGAAAAACAGATGCATGGAACCTAGAATACGAAGTTCTGAGTAGATGCTGGTATAAAAGTTGTAGTACAGATCAAAGACTATCTATGTACAGAATATGAGCTTTGTGATTTCTATTTTATTCGGTACGCTGTATCTTGTCGAAACTATTACCAATAGGTTCAAACCCTCATGATTCTGATTATCATAATTGTAGGAAGATAAGTTGGCCAACTTTATAGTCTTTTAGTATTGTGTATGTTCCATATCTCATGTCCGATTTATATTTCTAGCTTGCTTTGCTTTTTTCAAACCCATCGTTTTTGCTGTAGATTTGACATCTTTACTTCATATTGTTGAAAAAGTAATCAAAGCAATCGCTTATAGATATTGTACTATGAATGGTATAATCGACTCGAAATAAACGATAAGACTATAATATTCTAGCTAGTATTATGGAACGTCCTCTTTGATAACTATCCTCGAGAAATCGAATAGATCGTCCATCATACTTTAATAATACTAAAAAGTCTGATTTTATTTTTCATGCTTGAACCTTTTTTTTGATTTTTATTGACGAGTTAAATGGAAATGTACTAGAAAAACTGGTGAATGGTTATTTCAAATCATTAATTTTATCTAATGATCTCAGTAAAGAATGGTTTTATTCATTTTTTCAACGTCATACTGATGATATTAAATAATAAACTAGCGTAAACTTGATGTAGCTCGAGATGAGTCGCTTTTAAAGTTAGTCTGCAAAGCTCGGAGACATAGTGGTCAAGTATCATCTTTTTTTTGATAAAACCAGCAGAGTCTATCAATTACGTATTTTTAAACATGTAGAGATCAAAAATAATTCGTACCAAGTTCGATGTATGAAATATTGTAGAAGAGATTATGTGAAGACTAAGATTCTGTTCGGCTAAATCAATAGGTACTATTGCTGAAAAATTATAATGTTTGTCATGTACGTCAATCGAATTAACTGTTGGACAAGTTATTTTAAGCTAGTATCCAACGAAGGAAGATATCCAACTGTCGAAAGCCATTTCACCTCATCTTTTAGTTATGAGCAGTGCTCAATGAGACTAGGAAAACTCTAAAAGAGTTCGTGCCTATGAGTAGGTGTGAGTCGTCTCTTCATCCACATGCAAATATAGTCACATACATTGTTCTCTGTTGGCAACTGGAATTGCCACTTTTAGAAACATTGAAGAACACTGAATATCAAAAGGCACCTTCTGCATTATGTGTAGAGAATTTTTCAAGCTAAAAATTGGCAAAAAAAATATTTTGTACAATTGTTATGATATAAATGTTCTTTGAACTTATCAATATTATTCTATACATTGTTAACAGTATTTTCATTTCAATATCTTTCATAGAAATTTCTCAGAGTAATCATAGGTACAGTACGATATCGTCAGTGTGAAAACTTTGTATACATATAACCAAGATTAGAAATTCATATGTCAAGTTTAATCAATCTTTGTTATCACACAAACTCTGCTTTTATTATTGTTCCTATTCGCGCACACAAAACACGAAGAACAAAAAGAAAAAAATGAAAGAACAAAAAAAAAAAAAGAAGCACACAAGACATACAAGATGAATTTGCGCGTTAGCACAAAACAACTGAAACAGAACAAAACAAAAAAAAAGAAGAAGAAGAAGAAGAAGAAAATGAAAAGTTGGTCTGTTTGTTTTTCCATAATGAAATAAATTAACATAGAAAAAGAAAAGGAAAACCACAATTAAAAGTATCAGTTTATTTTTCTGGAATTTAATGAATCTTTTTCTTTTCTTGATTTTTCCTGAAAGCGCCGTACAACTTATGGACGGATCATCCGACCTACTACTTTACTGTTCTATACACATACACATACACATATGTTGTCGTTGTGAAACAAAATAACAAAACGAAAAAGAAAGAAAGCACACAAAAAGAAAAAAATGTTTAACAGTAACATAATTATAATCATATTTATCTTTGTTGAAGAAAAATTTTACGTGACATAAACATTTGATTGTTAAGTTCTGTAACAGCTTGTGTTGCATCTTTTATTGTTTCACAAGCAACAACACCAAAACCAGTTGGTTTACCATTAACATCACAGCGTATTTTAAGTGTATCAGGTACAGGTGTATATGGACGAAGAAAATCAAGAATTTCTTCACGTGTTGCACGATAAGGAACATTTGATAATAATAATATACGACCAACATAATCATTTAATTCACTTGGTAATGGTGGTAAATTTGTTGTCGGTGTAATTGGTGGTGTTGATGAACGTCGATCATTAAGAATTTTTTTTTCATCAGTTATTTTTACTTCAGATCCTTGATCATCTTTAGTTATTCGTGGTGAATTTCGATTAAATCCATATGAATCTTAACAAATAGAAAATTTTCATATGATTTATTTTTATTAAGAATGAAAATCAATATTAGATACTGTTGTCATTCGAAAGTCTTTCAGCTCTTTTTTTTCGGATCTGATTCATAGTTACGAAATTATTTTGCAAACAAATATTATAAGAAAAATAATATACGACATCAAAATTCACATGTTATACAATTTAAATATGATTTTTTTTTCTAGGTTTCATTAAAATAGCTAAATTTGAAAATTATATTCATGTGGAATAAATCACTTTTTGAATCAAGACTATGTACATTATGTAGATTATAGTGAACTATGAATATTTTGAAAATGAGTTAGTATCTTTAACTTATTACTGTATAGATACTATATATATTTACTACGTAAATGCCTTGACCTACGGATTTTCATTCTAAGATAAGAGCGATGTGAAAAAAAAACATGCTTTCATCACAGCCGTATCCTATGATAAGAATAATAACAAAAAATAATTTGAAACATTCACAATAAACTACAAGGTCTGTTTTTATATAGATCGTCAATTTGAAATACGAAAATCAGTTAAAAATTTGAATTCTAACTCAAATGCAAGTAATCAATTGAAGGACTTCTATGATATTAAAACAGCCAACCATCGATCAAAGCAATAACTTAGAATTTCTAGCTAAGGATTTAAATAAGAGATGTATGGGAACAACTTTTCTTTTTTTGTTTTTTGGTTCTAATCTATCTAAATTGAAAATTACCTTTATCATTATGTCCACCATCCCATCTTGGTCGTTTATCATTTCGTCGATCATCATCTCGTTCATAAAATGGTGGATATCGTTTTGTATTAGCTTGTTGAAAATGTTGATTCATTGTAGCTGGTGATGCTAAATCATTTGCTGTTAACATAGGTGTTAATGATGCATTTTGATATTCAAATAATGTTATACGTCGTAAATCTAATGTACGTCCATAAAAAATTTGTCGATTTTTAGATTCATATGCTATTTGACATGATTGAGCATCACGAAAACGTACTAATGCTTCACCAGCACCACGATTAAAACGATCAAGTAAAATTTTACAACTTTCAATTTGTATTGATCTATCAGCAAAATAATCATATATTTGTTTTTCTGTTGTTGAATATGGTATATTTCTTAAACGAAGACAAATTATTGTTTGATCTTGATTTAAATTTGGTTGTATTGGAAATGTTGACGTATGAATAGGTGAACCAATATGATGATGAAATGATGTTGGTGTTGGTAATAAATGTTGTGATTTATCATTACGAATATTTCCTATTGTTGTTGGTTCATGATGTAATAATGGTGGTCGACGTTGTATTCGTTCTGGACCACGTTTTAATGAATTTATTTCATTTTCCATATCAGTTTTTGTCATACGATACATTTCAATTGTTGATGAACCTTTAAATAGACAAAAAAAAAAAACTAAAAATCGTTTTTTTTCTTCTTTTTAATGTTTTTAATTTACCAATTTTTTCTCCATTATAAAAAAAAGCTTTTTCAGCATCTATTTCAGTTTCAAATTCAACAAATGTTGGTCCATTAAGTGTATCTGTTTCAATAAATATTCCACCTGGACGATTTGTTACATTACAACCAGCAAAAAAACGTTTAACATCTTTACGTTCAAAAGTTTTTGGTAAACCAGTAACACGCATACAATTTTTAATTGTTGTACCAGGTGTTTTTTTAATATGTGCTGGCATATATGAATCAATAGCTGATGCAAATGTATATTCATCAATTTTTTTAATATCTAACATTGCATTAAAACATTGTATACGACCATCTTGTGATAATATATCAGCAACATCTTTATTTGTATGTAAACGAAGTACAATTTCACCTGTACGTTGACCATTTTGATCATTAATTATTTTTATATCCGAAAGATTTAATTTATATTTTGAAAATAAAAGTTTTATATTATAATAATTATAACCAATAGGTATATTACGAACACGAATATATGGTTCATCAGCTGTTATAGCTGTTTGAAATAGATCTTGATTATAATTTGGAAATAATGTTTGTTGTTGTTGTTGTTGTTGTTGTTGTTGAAGAAGAAGAGCAGCTGCACGTTGTGATTGAAATGGATTTGTAAACTAAATATAAAATAAGAAAATTGAAATCTTAATATTTTTTTTCAAAAAAAAAATCTTCTAGTAAAACTGATTCTATCAACTAAAATTCATTCGTTTTATTCAAAAAAATTACTTGTTGTGCCATCCATGCATTTGATTGTTGTGCATATTGATTAATTGGATTTGTAAGAAGTGGCATTTGAAATGGAAATTGTTGTCCAACTGTTGGTTGTGGTTGTTGTTGCTGTTGTTTTTCATTTAATGTAGCTAATAATTGTTGAAGTGCTAATGGATTACTTCCATTTTGTGCTACAGCTAATAATAAAGCATTTGTTGGATCAATAGCTGATGTTTGTTGTTGCATTTGTAATTGTTGTTGTTGCTGTTGTTGTTGTTGTTGAGCAGCTTTAGCTTGAAATTCTGCAAGAATTGATGATATAGTATTTGCTGATGGTAATTTTGGTAAATTAGAACCATTTTGATCTTGTTGTTCAACAATATTTGATGTATAATTTTGTTCAACAGTTTTTGTTGATGGACCAGCACGAACTTGTGCAATAATTGATTGCATTTCTGATCGACTACTTAAAAATAATTTTATTGGATTACCACAAATACTACCCGATTTCATCATAGCTTGTCGAGCATCATCATCTGAACTAAAATTAATAAAGGCATCACCTTTTTCACCACCAACTAAAACAAAAATAATTATTTTAAAAAATTTTTCTATTTGAATATTCTTACCAACATGTACACCACCATCTGGAATATTCAAACCAGTAAAGAATCGTCGCTAGAAAGAAAACATTTTTCTTTCATGAGTTAACATTTTTATTTATTCTAATGAACCAAAAAAAAAACAATCTGAACTTACAATATCAACAGCTCGTGCCTCATTCGGTAAATTTTGTAAACGAATAATAATATTTGATGATGCACCAGTAGACATGTCTCTGTATATTTCTCTCTTTATTTGCTTAGTAGTAAACAATAATGAATAGCACCATGAAAAGAATACTTTTTATTTTTCTAGCAAAAACTCCAATCACTGTTCTGAAAGAAGAAAAATATCATTGCAATCTGATTCTTTTATGTTTAGAGTTGAATATCTTCTTTTTTTTTTATCTCTCTTTTAGAATATTAATAAAAAACAAAAAAAAAAAAATGAAAAAGTAATGAATCATATAAATAAGAAATAACAAAAATCGCGCCAAAGATTGTTTTGATTATTTTTCATGATGAATATTTGTTTGATATCCATTGATATAGGGAATTTAGAATAATAGATTTACCTGTATAGCAATCAAGTTCGTTTATACAAAAAAACAAAAGAAAAAAAAAAGCCATGTTCTAAAAAAAAAGAGATGATTTCAAATCGATATCTTCAATTGTTTGTTTTTCTTTTTTTTAAAAAAGAAAAATCTGTAAGAAATTTAATGTTATTGATCTGTACATATATCCTAAAAAATAAATATGTTTTTTTTTATGAAATTAATTTTTATGTGCGCGAGAGAAATCTTCTTGAATTATTTACTAATTGACAGAACTTTTATGCAATCATATATATGATAATTTTGTTTTGTAAATGGAAAATTTTAACATTAACGATATGATATAGATGTTTACTGCATACATTTTCATTGAAAAATATATTTCTGAATAATGTAGAATTTTTCAAGAAATTCAATTTATTGATTGCTACACATCTGAATGAGAAGTTTAAAAAGCCAATTCTCAATAGTATAAATTATTTTTGAAGATCGTGAAATGATAAGTCTTTTTCTGGGATATGAACTGAAAGAGTCAAAACTTTATTATCTGTTAACGATAAAAGAACTTCTTTAGAAAAAAATAGCCTTTATAAAGAATTAAAGTCATATCACAGATGGTCATTTTCTCTTCTGTCTGACTGTACACACACACACCTCTCTTCTGAAGAATCAAAACAGATTTATTTTCTGCGTATAAAGCAAATGACTAAATCATATATTTGTTGATTAAACATTATTATATTAAGAGATAAATAATCAGCAAAAGAAATAATCATAATGAATTTGAATAAGAATAATGCTTAATCTTCATGAAAAATATACCATTGAAGTCTGATTTTTGAGATTCATTAGACAAAAACACAAAAATAAAAATAAAATACATATAATCATTTTGTCAATCGTATCTTAGGAATATATTCACTGCAATTTATCTATAATTTGAATTCAGACTATAGCAAAATCTCTCTGATAGAAATATCATTAGATCTAGCCAAAAAGCGCTCACTTTACATATGTGCTCATTCTTTGAAAGACTTTCACTTGTAATTGCTTGTCAATTGCAAAAAATGATTTTTTTTTTGTTTTCAACAATTTATTAATTCAATTTGTTAATTAGAGACAAATCAACATGTCTGCATATACTTTCACGTCACTAGCTATATTAATATAAAAACAATCATTTATCACACCCAATATTACAGTGTCTATCATAACGCAATACACATTACAACATTTCTTTTTTGCGTTCTGCACATAAGTGAAAGAATGCATGTCGCTCACATTTACATAGGTTGTTATTGCACATACGACAAGAAATATATGTCTACTGCTGCTTAGAATAAGGAAGTATTCACATCGAGAGGCTTTACTGTAAATTATAAATAGATAAATGAAACATTTTTCGAATGAATTTAATCAATATTTATTTGTTTCTCAAAGGAAAATAGAATGTAGATTTTTAAGTTGAGATTAGATGACCTCTATTTCTCATAGCAACAGTTGGAAAAAGCCAACGAATACTGTGTATATTTCGATAGCAACCAAATAACACCAAACATCACACCCCTTTCCCCAGAGTTCCTTAGCAACGAAAAAAAAGAAAGCGCTGAGCGGCATTAGCAACATGACTTCAACTGTTCTAGAATATTCTTTTAATAGAATATATTTGTCAATGTCCTAAAATAATGCAGTTTTCGATTTTTTTTGCGCATATAAAAATTCATAATGAAAATATTAACGGGTATGATGCATTGATTTGTTACAGTCGTCATATGATCAACGTAAAAAAAAGCGTGAACTAAACAAGTTATAACTTTGAAAAATAATCAATATCAATATATCTGAACTTATCAAGAATATATAATAATAAATTGAGACCTCCTGTAGATATAATCCACCGTCAATTAAATCAACAGTTAGAATAATGATAATAATCTTGAATTTCGCAAAAAAAAAAACCTGCATATAAAAATGAAAAGCAACAATGCACACCGAAAAAAGAATTGAGCGCCATTAGAAAGAAACATTCCTCTCAAAAAAAAATGCAGAAATCAAATATCTTTTTGAAAGAAATAAAAACAACTATAAAATCTTCTAGAAATTATTTACTTAATATATTTTGTATAAGTACAATCAAACTAAAGAACATATGTGAACGTCACAAACGGATTGCACAGACAGGCTCAATTTTTTTGTTTTGTTCTATGAACTTTTTTATCTGCTCATTTATAATAAGAATTGAATAAAATATATCTGACTTTTTATTTTTTTTTTTTTTTTGACTACACTTACTTTATAATATCTATAAATCTGAATATCAAATTATATCTGTTTGTCTTTTCATTTGAAATCTCTCCCAGGATATCAAATTATCTTCTTTATTATTATCAAATGGTGTACAACCATGTAGTATATCATCAATATTTAATTCAACAAATGATTGACAATGATTATTCATTAATAAACATAAAGTTATTATTTGTTGTTCATTATTATTATTATTATCAGATAAAAATATAATTTGTTCATCAAAACGAAGTTTATTTGTTATTAATTTATTATTAATTATTAAATTTGTATCAGATATAATATTATTATTATAATTAAATTCATTTGTATTAATATAAAAATTTAATTTTAATAAATTATAATTAATACCAATACCTAACCATTTAATATAACTTTCTTTTAAACACCATAAACGATAAAAATTAGATGGATTATTTATAATATAATTATATTCATTTAATGTAAATTTTTTATATATTAAATTATAATTTAATTTTTGAATATGATTTTCTTTTTTATATATCATTGTATCACAACCAATTTTTCCATGAAATGTTCCAGCAATACAAACTAATTGATGATAATGTGAAAGATTAAAATCAAATGATGGTAAAATTTCAATAAATGGACGATTATATTTTGTACGTTGAAGAATAAATGACGAACTTTTCTTATGAAATACTTGACTTAAAAGATAACGAATTAGTAATTGACCAATAAGTGTAAATTTTACATCACGTTGATATACATATTCATCAATACGTTTTAATTCATTAATAGGAAGACAACGATTTGCAAATAACCATTGTTCACGTGTTGGTTTCCAACGATGACAATTAAAATAGAAACGATACATTTGAATAAATAAAAATAAATTTTAAGGTCAAATATAAAAAAATATGAATAAACCAATAAGAATTGATTTAAATTAATGCATTAATGCACTTTGATTTTAAGTCAAATTTTCTTCAAATTATTTAAAATTTAATAAAACTTTTTAAAGTTTAGATTGAAAAATATTGTTTTTCTCTTAATTAAATAATTTAATTGTAAAGCGCTTTTTTTTTTGTTTGAATGAACAAAGATATGCGCGCTATGAACATATAATGAATCATACATGTTCAATTTATCATATACTACACTTACATTTTTATACATATACATAACATACGTTGAACGTTTTATTTTTAAATATAAAATAAAATGACAAATATTCTTACGGAATCAACAACAACAATTATCAATAAAATACTTGATGATATCAAAGAAAATATTAATAATTATCATCAAATCAATGAACAAACGGAAAAATTAAATGTTAATTGTATGTATTGAACTTTGTTTGATTTATTTCTATTAGATTATCGAAGCAACGAATTATGTTTTCAGAAAGAGAAACAAGAATGTTGTTTTGTCTAGTCTGGAATATTATTGATTGCCTATATATTGTCATTACTTCTTATTTCAAAATGAGTAGAAGAGAGGCATTGGTTAAGCAGGTGTTTCTTTTCATGTATATAGTGTTTCACTGCTAATTAGCGATGAAACACCAGCTTAACCAATGCTCTCTACACAACCATTTGATAGATGTACAGAAAAAAAACATAGTTTTCCGGTAACAGAAAATTATTTTGGATGTAGTTTTTGTTTGTAGAAGAATGATTTATTAGCGAAAATCATCTGAGGATTTCTATAGTCACAACAGTGGTTAACTTAATAAGGTAAGTCTTATCATATCAAATTTTTTCATCTGAGAAGTTAATGCTTTGAACTAAATGTTAACTTGATAAATGAAATAAGCATTTTTTTTAGTTTTTTCGATAGTATATATTTTAATTTTGAGAAATAATTCTTTTGAGTCATTGTAAAACGATAATTTCTTTTTATTTTAGCTGAACAAATTCATTTAATTTTAAATAATGAAGAACAATCAAAATCGATAAATCTAGAAAATTTACTTGAGAAAAATATTGATAATCATAATGAAAATTCAATATTATTATTATCATCATCATCAACAACAACAGATTCAAATGAATTAATAAAACCACTTATATTAATGAATAAACAAATTGAATTAATACATCCTCTTGAAAATCAATGGTCATTTTGGTATTTAAAAAATCAACAAGGAAAAGATTGGCAAGATAATTTAATGAAATTAGCAACATTTAGTTATGTTGAAGAATTTTGGGCGTAAGTTAAAATAAAATTCATAATTAGAATTATATAAATGAAGATTGTTTTAAAAAATATTCATGTTTTTATTATTTAGTCTATTTAATCATTTACGTGTAGCATCACGTTTACCACCAAGTTGTGATTATATGTTATTTAAAACTTCTATTTTACCTTGTTGGGAAGATTTACATAATTCAAATGGTGGTCG